AAAAAAACTAATTTAAGAAAAATGAGACTGTTAATTGAAAATACAGTGCTATTCACTGCACTTATAAACATCTTTAATAACAATGTTGTGTGCGAAATATTAAATTGGAAAAGAGCAATCATTAATTAACATTGAAATAAACCTAATAGGAAAAGACACCAGTGAAAAAGCATACATAAAAAGTTGTTTTGCCTTACTTTCTTGGATAACATACCATCAGGTTTATCCACTTCAAGTTGCAAGAGAATTAACATAATTCATAAAAAAATAAATATATAGTATAAAAAGGAAGACATGTTAATTTGTCAAAAAGATAGTTGGTTTGGCAATTCATATATAATTAAAATAGAAAAATGTTATTAAAAAAAATTTCTTTGAATTTACATAACGTAAATATGGTCAAGCGTACCGTTAAACACTTCATCAACCTTGAAAAGATAAACTCTCCATCTATTTATAGCTTCTTTCCATCTGTTGCATGAGTCTCTTCAATTGTCGTCATATGTGGTACTGAAGCATCTAATTTGATCCTATATGAAAGTGGTAGTGAATGTTGAGGTTAAATTGTTCAGGTAGGTCTTAACGAAGAAATGATGGTTATGTGTGCTGAAAGGAACCATTAACGAAGACTCAGAAGGCATTCTTGTAGAAAGTGAATCTAAAGAATCTGTTACCTTTGCAGTTCTGGTATTGAATAGTTAAGTACAAAATGAAACTTTTTACATAAAATCTTTGCATATACGTTAACAATAAATTTGTTTTTACTCAAGTTATAGCAAGAAACTTATCGGTTTTCGGTTACTACAATTAAAGAAGCCATAACAATGCCTTCAAAATTAATGCAAAGCCATTCCACTACACTAAATCTGTAAAGAGAACAAGTCAGACGAATAACTTGTTGTAAAATGATGTCTAAATGTAGTAAGATATGTTCAGAATGTCAATTTGCATTACTTATTTTTTGAGGTCTTTCCCATCCTTGTCCATGAGCTGCAGTGCAGAAGAGCCTCCACCTTCATTTCTCACATTTTGAAGTCTGAAAATCGATAAAAATACAGTTATTATTATGTAACACAAAATGATTTATGATATATACATATACATACATATATATATATATATATATATATATATATATATATATATATATATATATATAACATCTTATCTTACTTGTCTTTTCGTTCAAATTTCAAAATATACAATACACCATAAAAGAGTCCTATAGTGATTTTTGGTAATTCTTTAATAATTGATTAAGTACCAATAGGATAAAGAGAAAATAATTAATAATTACTGACCCTAAGCATTCTTCATCCACAAAAACTTCCATACAAGGCAGGGCAGGGGCAGGGGCAACAGTTCTAGCAATAGGTCTCTATGGAATTTGAAATTTGAAAGAAATATAATTCAATTTGTAGGAAATATAATTCAATGAACGATTTATGAAAATTGAAATAAAGAGAATAATAAATTAATAATACCTTATATGATGTCCACTTGACAGGAATCACATTATTCTCTTTATTTCTATCAGCTCTTCCTCCAATCGTATTCCAGTTTTTCAACTCCAGCTTTGAATGATGCAGCAGCCCTATCAAAAAGATTTTTTTTATCACAATGTATATGCTAACTGGTTTGAAATAATAATCAAACATGTTATATCATTTCCTCACCCTTCTTATACTCAGACCTTTATCCGATTTAGTCGCAACAATTGAGTGAAATTGAAATTGAAGCAAAAAAAAAAAAGTAATTTGTATCATTGGTTCATTTTTTGTGATGTATGTTTCGTTTGAGCAATTCATCAAACACTTGGCATACATTGTGAAATATCTACAAATTTACAAACTTAGACAAAGGTTCTTACCTTATCATCTGTGTTACGTAGCCTTTTTGCGTTGGTCCAAAAAGAATAAAAAAGACAGGTGAAAAAAGAAAAGACGGGGAAGCAGTAGCATATGAAAGAAAGAAGTGGTTACGATTTCTTTCATTAGAAGCTAAAAATTGTGTCTAGATACCATCAAAATTGAAGTTGAAAAGCTTAAAACTATCGATTCGTGGCTGGAATTAGTGTGCGACGTCCAGTCCATGCTCTCCCTGTTCGAAGATCAAAACCAATTAGTTGCTAATTGCTAATTTCATACAACGAACCTGAGAGGCGGTGGGAAGACTCTGAAGGTCGAAATGGAGAAAACAAAGACGGGGAAATTAATTTGAAGGAAGGTAGAAGAAGGTTGGAGAAGGTTTTCTTGCATCTGATTCATGAGGCAAGGCGGTGGAAAAAAAAACAGGAAAAGATTAGGGGGTGTTTGGCTTGGCTTTTCAAGGAGCAAAAGTTCTTTTTGGAAAAGTCACAAAAAGTCAGGTTTTCCTGACTTTTTCAAAAAGTTCATTTTTATTTGTATCCAAATCCAAAAGTAGCTTCTAAAATGCATTTGCCAAACATCTTTTGCTTTCTATCTTTTCCTAAAAGGACTTTTGGCTTCTAAAAAGCTAAGCCAAACACCCTCTTAGAGAAGCAGTGAAAAGAAGGCAAAAAAGTAGAAGATAAGGATAACAAAAATGTTAAGGCGGTTTGTAGCCTATGGCATAAAAATAAAAAATAAATAAAAGTGGTGGGCAAGTGAAAAGAAATAAAAAGTTGGCAGGGAAAATGTTAAATTATCACCGTGGCAAATGTTGTAAAGCAACAAAAGTTTGTGGAACAAATGTAATTGGCCAAACATTCACGATTAATTAAAATTACAACAAAGATTAACTTAGCACAACTATGTATAATAGTCAAACCAAATTGGTACAAAGTTAAAAGTTAAAAAGTATTTTGCCAATAAAGGTAAAAACATATAATTACTTTGTATACTCACAACTTCCCATATAAAAAAAACAAAGGTTTACAATTGAAACTTACCATATAAATGTAAGCTAAACACTATTATATTAGGTAAACGATGACCGAAAGACAGCTAAAAGACAGCCTTGAAATCTACCAATCTCAAGACAATGAAGCAAGAAAATGGCCGAATATTTGGACTTGAAGTTCCATTCTAACAACACCTTCACCTGTCCAAAAATTTCAATCATTCACAACTTATATAACACAATCATGAGCAATGTGATTAGATTTCATTAAAGAGAAGTAAAACATGTTTGAAAGTAAGAGGCTTTAAATTAATATGCAAGTAAATAAAAGAAATAAAAGTAGGATTCTATAAACAAGTAAGTACCAAATCAAGATTTTCAGAAATTTTACAACTTGAAGTCTTCTATACTTCAACCAAATGTGATTAATGTGTTCATTTTTTTTTTTTTTTTTTTTTTTTTTTTGGTAGTCGAATTCAGAAATAACAACATTGGCCCACAAAATGATTCAACCAAATGAAGAAGGTGATGATGATTCCTTTGTTATGGAGAGAACTTGCGACCCTTTCTCCACTGCACCAAATTACAACTATACCCCTTAAGATTGCCAACAGGATTCTATCAACCCTAACTTGTGAAAAAAGACACGTACGGAAAAAAAAAAAAAAAACCCGTGGACGGCAGGATTCGAACCTGCGCGGGCAAAGCCCACATGATTTCTAGTCATGCCCGATAACCACTCCGGCACGTCCACTGATATATCATGCTCCGGCAAGTCATTATTGATGATAAAAACGTACCAAGAAAAGGGAAAAATATAGTGTAAAATTATTTATTTAAATGTCTTGTATTTATTTACGTAAAATCTCATCCCTTATTGTGTTCCCTTATCTCTCCAATACTTGATGTTCATCATGGTCAATATCGCAAGTCTTTAACATAAAAAAGTAAACATAGAAAAAAGGTGGATGTTCATTTGAGAGAGCCTAGCGGATTATATAGCCAAGTGGAGCCGCAACTTGTTATCCTTCCACTGTCATAAGCGAGAGGTATTCACAGCTCTGTGAAGCCAGCCTAATGCAGTGCCCTCTTCTCTAGGAAGCCAAGTGAGCCAAGCCTTCGCTAGAGCCACATGGTTCAACTCACAACTTGGAATGGGCAAGCCGGTATGAGCTCCAACATGACCAACCGAGCCAGTCTATGACACAGTCCGACCACCTTTGATACCCTCACTTGAGTTATAGGCAAGCGCTACCAAGCCCGGTGGAGACTTCTCTTCAAATGGGTTTTATAAAGAGATCGAAAGTTTGTGAAGCTACCGATGTGGGAACAAACTATAAATAAGGAACTTTTAGTTTGTGGTGGATATGCACATTGGATTCTTGTGGAATTATTTAATTAGCTTATTAGTTGTGTTGAGTTCTTTATTATAATAAGTTTGAAACAAGAAATCGTTTTTTGTTTTATTATGAATCAAAATTTGTAGTTGTAAGATAACTATCATGGTTGATGTAATTCGTTTTCTTTTGTAAAAACACTTTTTTGTTGTATTTCATTTTTTGAGAAGTTTTACGATGCATTTTTTATTTTGTATATTAGTTAATGATATTACCAATGGTCAAATATTATTATATGTCAGGGGTTACAAATTTTCAAGAGATTGAGAAATATTTATTTTTTTTTTTTATTTTCTTTATTTAACATCAAATATTTTCGTTCTTCAAGATTAGTAATTCTATCAATAATCAATAGTATTGCCATTTGATAACCATTAGTTTATTTTTTTGGATGTCTGGATTGAGTTTTATTGATGTAATGGTTTTTCATGGGGTGAGAAGATGAGAAAAAACGAAGGACTTATTCGTCTAATTAATAGTGAAATGTTTACTTGCGCCAACCATCTTTTTATTAGGATAAACAAATTGGTTGGCTATTGCTAATTGTTTGCCTCTTTGGAAACAAGTGTGGGTTCCATCATTGATTCCAAACTTGTAGCTTTAATTAGCAAGAGTGGGTACATCACGTAATTGAATACTAACAAAGGAAGCAAAGAAGGAAGAAGCGTGGCTTGAAAGTAGCAAGAGCAAGAGATGAATCAGCAATTAATACCAAGGTGATGTCCATGGTGGTGCTAACAGATGAGCAGCGTATATAAGCAGATAGCGTTGGGAGACGGTGGCCAAGAGCCCAAGACACATACCCAGTTCAAAGTACCTTCCAAGAAAAGTATTGAGGCGGTGGATTATATCGAGTCGATGATGGAAGCGGTGATGGAAGACAGATTATTTGAGACGAACTGGTGGGATAAAACTATCCAAGATAAACTAACTAACCCAAGGAACAATACTCTGGTCAGGTACTGTTCCTAAAAGAACATAAAATTAATCTATATATAAATTAATTTGAGTATTCTTTTTAACGTTTTAGTTTGTTTCCTTTAACTATTGAAGGATTCAAGTAGGATATGCTAGAATGAATTTGAAACCAAACTTCCAAATGAATGGTATAAAGTCACCATGTATGATCTCCATTTGAAGAGGAGGTCAAGAAAGCAAAGGTAACACGACACCATCAAATACGGATGCCATACCACGATTGAAGATATGGAAATGGATTTTTGTATCCTAGTCAAATAGGTGTTTTTATTGGCACCGGATTTACCTTGATCAAAACCATTTTACTTAACTAATACCTTTTGGAAACCTCATGGTTTATCTTGTAAAAATGTGTTAGATCTTAACACATCTCGACATCTTAAGCAACAATGAGTGATAATCCATGAACTAAGACACCTTATACATCATATTATCAAGTTAAAAGTATTTTCATGTTTAAGATATGAAAATTTAAAGCAAAAATCTTGCTAAGGGTCATATTCGTCAAGAAAACAAAGATAAGGGTAAAAAGTGACATTTTCAGTTTTTATAAGGATCACAAAGAGTGCATTTGTTTAAAACTAAGTTTTTGTGAAAATCACACTTTTTAAAGGACCAAAGGGGTAAATCTTAGCCTAATGGGATTAATTTTTTAGTCCATCTTGTAAAGTTGTGGATCCAATACATGTTCTGTTCAGTTTGTTATGATATGTTATTGTTGATGTGGTTATATGGACCGTATGTGTATCGGTATTTTGTGGGTAACTCACTAAGCTTTCGGGCTTACAGTTCAGTGTTTTGTTTCAGGTACTTTAGGAGATCGTGGCAAGGCGAATGCGTGATCGTACCGCTCCTCATGTTCTATGATTTATGTGATATGGTTCTGGGGAATACTCTGATGCTATACTATTTTGAAAACAAATGGTAATAACTTAATGGTTTTAAATGTTTTAAATTTTTTTTTTAAATTGGATTGAATTTTTCGGGTGTTACAAATTGGTATCAGAACCTTGGTTTGAGTGAATTGGAGGAACACTTGTGTAACTTCAGTCTCAAATCAAGGAAAGGATTTTCAAAATAATTTTTTTCAAAAAGGTTTTCAAATGAGTAAAGGAGGATGCAGGGTGTATGATCAGCCGAAGCCAGTAAGTAGACCCCAAAATACCATACAAGTTATTTGATTATGAGATATGTTAGAACAGCATGTTAGTACTAGGCTAGGGATCTTCAGGAATTACATGATAGAATTGTCTGATTTCATGTGGATGCTAGCCTAGGGTTTCCTTTATATGAGATTGACACCATTATCGTAGTTGCTTAGTGTATGTATCACGGTTATACATAATTAAGATCTTATAGCCTGAGAATGTTTGATTTGGCCTTATGTTCTGTTCTTGTTTGATTGGGACCTTAGGGTAGGATTGGATATTCTAAAGTCTATAGGGTCCAGCGTTATGTATGGCTAGCATACACTAGTACTGCAGCGTTGGTGGAATTTTCATGGATGGGTGGATTGTGCAAGGCCGGGAGGCCAGCTATGAGATATTTAGCATTCCTCTAGGAGTGAGGATTGAGCGCTCGCTATAACGCCCGCAGATCTGGGCTAGTCAATTTAGAGGCAATAGGGGTCGAAAACGACTTTTCGACAAAATATTGTAATCTTAACCAAGTTGTAGAATATGTCACAAGGTTTCCGTGCATATAAAGAACGCCTAAATCCGAGTTATAACGAAGAAGTTGTGACCCGTCGAAGTTTCGCGACTGAACCGGCACGGCACCGGGAAGCGTAAATAGTGAATTTACGATAAAGCGAGATTTAGCCTTAGCGCTCTAAACGAAAGTCGTAGAATATGTTAAACTAAGAACATCGATAAAAGAACTCCCAAATCTGACTTCGTATGAAGTTATGATTTTTCGAAGTTTCGAGTTAGCAGTGTACAACCCGAAATTCGAATATTAGATCGAGCGGTTTTTAGCCAACACGACCTAAACAAGAATCGAAGATCTCGTTAAGAGTAGCGTAACGAGAAAAAGATGGGTGAAAACGGACATCGGATGAAGAAGTTATGAGGATTTATCGAACCAATCCTGTCCCGGCCTGTTAATAATAGAAAATTTAAAATCAAATCAAAATTAGCCGACGAAGTCTAAACGAAAGTTGTAGAGTACGTTCCCACCTTCGCATGGATATAAAGAACGTTGAAAACGAAGCTCGTATGCGAAAGTTATGATTTTTAGAAGTCGGAAAGTGAATTTGCGAAATCTGTTGCGAGGGTGATGGCGTGGCTCAATCAGGGTCGGCGCTTGCTGATCATGCTTCGCTTCGGATTTACGACACGTCGCTCCGCAGTACGCCCCACGTCTGAAGAGGTTACGCCTCGCGTAGGTCCGATCTGATCCATCCGATAGGTGCAAGACAGCTGGGTCCGAGCTGGTGGTCTTATCCGAGGATTACGCCCAGCGTACCCTCGGTACGCCCAGCGTAAGGTCTGAAGCTCTGGCTATAAATAGAAGGCCGAGGCTGCCATATTTCTTCACTCCAAAATCTCTTCTTTCTCTCACTAATTTCTCTCTCTAGAGTTCCAACCGCCCCCCCCCCCTAAGCCCTAGTTAAACCCCTTAGCTCCCGAGGGAAGCCCCGAGGCTTCCAGGGTCCCGAGAAAAAGAGTCTTTTGGTTTCGAAATGCTGCTCCAATTAAGTTCCGGTTTTCGATAAAATTCGTTGTAAGTGTGCTACGCTTACGCAATTTTTAATATAACTTTCAAATAATTATAGGAATGTTATTAGGTCCTTAAAATAGTTATTTGGGCTATTATTATGAGTTATATTGAGTGTTATTAACGCTTATATAATAATAATAATAGTCAGACTAATTAAATTGTCGTGGTTATCGTTAGACTAAACCCTAGTGGTGTTGATACTAGGTTTTATAGAAGTAAGTTGTTTTGAGAAGTATCGAAGCGCTGTTCGAGTACTAAGTCACCACCTTTCAGGTGAGTGCATAGTTACTTTCATCTTACACATAGATATGAAGTATTTTATATAAGTTACGTGCTATGTGTGTATATTATCTAAGTACTTGTTGTCTATGCTAAATGAATGATTTTATACATGTTTTAAATAATTTAAACAATATATGTATTTTACATCTACTATAATGTCGGGGTAAACATGGGTAGATATAATAGATGGAATATGAGTTGAATGATGAGTTGAGAGGTGTTATAGACCATGAGGTGAGGGTGAGAGGTGGACGAAGTGAGAAGCCTTTTCCCAAATGATGGCCCCGTCATTCAACAGAGTATGGATGACAACCACAGACTATTCTAGACAGTCCAGTGGAACACTAGCAGGCTCGCAACCTGTAGGTGTTGTGAACGATGTGTTCACCCGGTGTACTCTAAACCCTGGTGATCATGCAAACTTGATGCCTAAACCCTGGTGATCATGCAGACTTGATGCCTAAATCCTGGTGATCATGCATACTTGATGCCTAAACCTTGGTGATCATGCAGACTTGATGCCTAAACCCTGGCGACTATGCAAACTTAGTGCCCTTTGTGTAAACCGTGGCAATGATGGACTTTGTGCCGATTCCTTAGGATGATCCTTAGGAATGAATGAACGAGGAATAACTAATTCTTAGGGTAGATCCTTAAGATTAAAGAAGATAATGGAGATGGGTAATTGGGTTGATTGTTTGATTGTTTAAACATAATAATTAAATTATTGTGGGTTGATAACCATATGTACTCACCAGGTTTCCCAACCTGACCCACTCAGTTTATTTATATCACATGAGTTGATATGAAGTCACATTACACTGAGAGATTTAAAGAGATGTAGATCACTAGTGTAAATAAATGTAAGTTCTGTTTATGCTTATGTTTATGTATTAACGATGACATCCCAAACGTTTTGAAATGAATAAAATACGTTTCTTAAAAAATGATTTAATAACGTATTTATCGTGTTTTTCTGGGAACAAATTCCGCAACATTTTTATTAAAAGAAGAACTCTGATTTTTATAAAGCATAAAAAAAATCGGTCTTTTCTGGCCGTGAAAATGGGGATGTCACACTCGCCATGTTGTGTATAGTGTTAGGGTCTTGTGATGATACTTTAGATAAATATGGGTAGGTGTGGAAGGTAGTAGGGGCCCATACTACTGAAAGCACAGGACCCATACACATGTCAAGTAAGTCACAATCCCTAGGGTTGGGTTGGGAGCTGGTCCCCTATCATTATATTGATTATCAGAGATCTTTCTGGTGTCTTACCAGAATGGTGGTTACGAGACGGCTTGAGACGGATTCGGGTTAGGATCGAGAGTTGACAGCTAGGATAGGCTAGTGTTGTTAGAGGCTCATGTCTGTGAGATTATCCGGGAGGAGGTGATCGAGATTGTTTGGGGACAGTTGCTGGAGATGTTTGGGTCTATCAAGACCGCCATGGTTGAGTATTTCGACGAGCGCTATACAGCTAGTGTCGAGACGATTGACGTGGCAGCTATAACAGCTGTAACGACGGCAGGGGAAGGAGCTGGTCGAGCTTTCTAGTACCATGACTTGTTACTGGGACATATTCTGATGAGCAGAAGGTTGCAGTTACTTGGGATCAGGGAAATGTTTTGTACTTGTTACATTCTGCAGGTTAAGTGGGAAAGTCTAGCACATGAGTTTCTAGATTTGAGGCTTCGGGGGTTTGCTCGAGGCCGGAATGTGAGTCGCGGGGACTTCGGAAATGAGTAATGATTATGTTCAGCTGGAGTTATGCAACTGTAATTTGAATGGTTAATTGATAGGACTGGAATGTTATTTTCCCAGGGCAAGGATTATACCCTTTCAGTTTATGAGTTTGAAGGGTTGAGCATGCTTGTGACACAGGATCAGGTTGTATTCCAGCTCGGGTCAGTTAGTCGCAGAGGTTGGCTCAGGAGTTCTTGGAGCTGAAGCAGGATTCTGAGTCGGTGACGGAGATCACCAGGATGTTCACTAAGAGGGCGATGTTTTGCCCGGAGTTTGCTTCAGAGCAGGCTCAGATGTCCCGATACCTGAGTATGCTCAAGAGGGACATCAGCCAGTTTGTGTCCACGCAGAGGTGCGAGACCTTGCTGGAGTTGCAGGAGGCCGCTCGACGACGTGAGTTGGAGATTGAG